GAGACCTCAGACAACAATGATTAGTCCATTTTACTACCAAGAAGTAATTTCTTTGTTCAAAACTTTACATTTAAATATCACCAAGGAAAGACAAATTTGTAAAATTATGTCACCTATGAATTTGTCTTAATATTTTCCCTCCAGTTTTTATTTTTTTCCTGAAACATACTGAATATGTTTGAATTAAAAGCAATAACTGCATTAATTTTATAGAAAAGACATTCCAATCTCTAATGAACTTAAAGGCCCATTCTAAAACACACTCACGGAAGGACAAAAAGTCAATAACCTTAAGTTTTCTACCTATATTAATATAGTAAAAACATAACCAAGGGAAGAGACATTTACAAAGGTTTTTGAATGTTTATTTATCAAATTATTACATATCTTCCTGTAGACACTTCCTGAAGTGTCTTTTGTAGACACCTACTATACCCATTGTGTTAAATCACTTCCAGAAGGCACTCCACAAACATGCAATACATGACTAGAGTTTCTAGGTTATCAGAAGGACATAACTTTTTCTATTTACTCTTGTTGATGGTTTATATCAACAAACTGTGTAGAACAAAGTAAACTTCCGACTCAGGTTATAAACACACCTTACAGATTTATCATAAAATGCCTCCAGAGGACTATAAAGCATAGCCATGATTTGACTCTGTTTTCTTTTTAAGATCTAATCAGAGCTTTGAAGAAAAAGAAAGTTACTTCTTTACATTTCCCTCCAGAACATAGTGTCTTTTAGTACTAAATTGCAATGTTCATTTTCAGTTGTTAATTTCACTTGCTTTTTATAACTGCCATCTACTGTCTTCTCACACAAAATAGAATTTGGCTATTAATTCTTAGGACTCTTACTGAGGGGAGTCAGTAGGAATATGAAAGCACCCCAGTGGTATGATGTTTCCTGTAAATAGATTAAAGGGAGAGCAGGGCTGTCCTGAAAATTGCATTAATTTAAAGTAACTTGTAAAACAGGCTAATCCTGGACTTTGGTAGATATTTAATTCTTATGATGGTCAAACAAAATAAAAATTATCTTCCTAATGACTACTGTCTGTGAAAAGAGACATAATTCCAAAATAATACAGAACCTGTTCAAAGTGTTATGTCTAGCTCTTTTAAAAGATTGTTCTTGAAAACAATGCCTAAAGGTTAATACATTATCCAGTACATATACTCTTAAGATAACTTTCTAAATATTGTTGTTATTTAAAATAACGATTCTATTAAATTTTACTGTCATGTGGGCATTTGCTTTAACTTTCAAGATGCATTCTGTCTCATCATATATTAACTGAAAACTGTGAATGATATATCACTTAATTTGAAATATTTTTCAATAAGAATCATTATATTTTCATTTAATCATTTTTTTAAACATTTGGTCTGAATGCAATCCAGAATTTTCAAGAAATAACCTTTATTTTAAAGCAAATCAAATATACTCTTGTTGTCAAACAGGTATATTCATTCTGACCTAATTTAAGTATATGTTTTGAAGGCTTTCTGTTCTCTGTCACTATTTCCACAGACTTGAATCAGTGAAGAATGGAGTGGCTATTCTTTGGCTGAAAAGAATATTTCATTGACAAACAAAACTGGGAAAAATGAATCGATCACAGAAAAAGAATAATGGGCTACTTAAAAGTGTACCTTTATTGGGCAGTTGTTGACTTCTCTAGATTTAAATGAGAACTGCATTTTATGAGCCACTAGCAAAAAACAAAAAGTGCTCTTTAACGTGATCAAAAGATGTATATTCAAAACATCTTGGAATGAGTTTTCAAGAAAAGCAACACAGACGATCACGGTGTTTAGACAGTTCACAATCTCTCAGCAAATTTCAACTAATTAACAGCTAATATTTGCAGCCATCACAGGCAAGCATCTGTGTTATGAAAAGTCCTTGTGGTCCTTTCCACCTTAGCTTCGACTTGGAAGAAATTCATTGTATAAGCAAGTATCAAGTAATGTGGCCCTCTGGTGGAAAACTAAGTATCACATTCTGCAGCACAATGTTCGACAGTAAACTAGAAGCTATCAAATACTTGTTACAAAGCTTTACAGATCCTCCCGAAAATCACCCTGTGAACTTAATTAATAGCTTGACACCTGAAGGGCACTCGGGCACCGGCATGACGTAACGAAGATGAAAATCCTACCTTTCCTGATCCTTCAATCAGGTTCCAAAGAATAATAAATTCTCAGCATCCTTTAGCTTCACACAACATGCTCAATTGGCTACGAATACATTTTTCCCATTGAAGCAAACAGGCTGATTTGTTTTAAGGAATCACCGAAGAAAACAAAACTTACCTGCTGTTGTTGCAGATGCAGCAGCTCTACTGTGCTTACTTCTGAGCTGGTGTCACCACTTGATCTTCCATCTCGGCTGCCAGCATCTAATTGGCTGCTCAGAGTGCTCATTCCATTTTGATTCATTGAACTGTTGCTTATTGTCTCTGTCGCAGATTCCTGCATCATGACTTAATACCTAAAAGTGATTAAGAAGTATCAATTAACACACGTTACACCTTCACACTTCCATTATCAAGATGTCCCTCTCTGCCAATTACAGAGACAGCATCTTTAGAAGAAAAAAAAAAAAAAGCCCGCCTTGAACAGTCATTTACCAAGAAAAGCAATACAAATTCAGCTTTCATCCAGATACTAATCACTGAAATTATGGTTTCTATAAGCAATTTTTGTGTGGTTACATTTAACAGCCAAAGTAACATATCATGCATAGAGCATGGTCAATAGCATTTATGAAGGACCACATTTTAAAGTCTACCTATAAAACCAGCTTAAACGAAGGCACGATTGCACACTCTGTTCTATGTTTCCTATTATCTACCTTTGACAACCATGGATGACTATACAGCCTTATTTTAAATATTCACTATCTTGATTCTGTCAGATTTTTACAGCACATCTTATGTAAGGCTGTTGTTTAATGATGCACAGCTAATCATACAAAATTAAAATTTTGTAAGGGTGTTACAAATCATATGGTATCAACCAATGATAAATAGTATAATGGGTTTCTTTTTTTTGTGACTAAATAAAATTTTGCCTTGGAGGCATTTTAAGAAAAAGCTCCTGCTGCAAACACGTCAGATATTGCCTATTTTTTTAATCAAACAGCTCATATTCATTTATTTTTCTGACATTTAAAACATTTAATACTGTCCTTCCTGGGAAGTAATTAAGCTTATGCATGAGCAGCAATCAAACTGTTCACTTGAAGATGACTTAAAACTCAATTTTAACATAGGCAAATAAATGAAAGTATATATAAAATTAATTTTCCAGGCATGTATTAGATATGAAAGCTGGAAATAAAATCTATCAAGAATATCACTAATGATTGTGCTAAAAACAGCATAAATTATGCATATTACCTTCTCTACAGTAATAAATGTTTTATCATTTTCACTGCATAAATATACTGTACTTTCAGGATAGCAATGAGATGTCCTGCCAAGATCAGTGGAAATCCTTGCAGTAAATAAAGAACCAATGTGCTCTTACAAACCAGAATTTCACAGTACATCTTGAATCTGTGGTTTAGAAAGATCACTTTTGGCTCTCAGAGATATCTGAATCCTATCCTATAACCTAATTGCTGCACTTCTCTGATTTACTTCTACGGACAGGATTTCAGAAACAACCTGGGTGCGCTGTGACTTTAATAGTAATGCTAGACAGACAGGGGACTTAGCCTAAAGTAAAGAAGGACGTTAAACTTATCACTCAATTTAAATTTTTGTAACTAGGCGATTTCACTATTTTAAACTTGGTCATATTTTAAGACTTTTGTCCATTAAACAGTTTTAATGTATTTATTACAGAGCAAATGTAAGCTTGATGTCTTTTCATGTCAGAGAGAAACCCTCTTCCCCAGATTCTTACAAAATGTGATTATGGACACACACATAGACACACACACACACACACACACACACAGATACATATCCAAGAGAGTTTTTTTGCATGCTAATATTATAATTATTAAAAATTAATGGTTATAATTTAATAGCTTTAACAGGTTTTTTCATCAAAGCCTAAATTATTAGATTATTTCTAGGACTCTAAAAAGTCAATTAAAAAAGAAGGACCTGCTGATTTCTAAAAGACCACCAGTAGCTGGGCTAGCAAAGCAAGTCAGTATAAGAAAAACTACATATACAACTTAAAGCTGTTCTGATAAAAAAGAAAAAAAAAGCAACAACAACAAAACCCCATAATCACAAAGGAAGCAATTGTTATAACTATATAGTAAACAACTTTTGAACCAAATGTGCTTATGAATAAATAGGCTTTGTTAAACACCTTATTGAACATTAACAAAGAAAAATCACACAAATGAAAACTGATACATAGTGATGGATTTTATAGGAAAAAAAAACAAAGCTAATACTCTTTTCTGAGATTAGGCAGCTAATAAGTATTCAAATTAGGCATAAATTTTACATGCACAATGTTTAAAATATTCAGAGAAAAGGTCTGATTGCCTTTACTACTTATATGAAAATTATAATTTGGGTCCTCTGCAACTGTAGAAACAGATAGATATAACTTCTACTACATATTGCATTTAAATTTTACTTTTGACAATAGATCTTGAGTGTATGTGTATGTATATATTTTTACTTCATCATCCAAATTTATTTGAAATACTTATTATCTCTGGGTGGAGTTTGCAACAAAAAGAATAAAAATTTTAAAAAACTGTATTTTCAAATATAGCAGACAAATGGCAGTATTTAATATTAACCTTTGTGTAGTTAATGTCGGAACTAATTGGATGAATTAAAGAAATCTGCATATATTATTGTATTATAATCAAGGCCATCAAATAATTAAGAATAATCAACAAGCAGAGTCATGGGTCTAAATTTTTATTACAATTATAAAGAAAGACCCACATAACTTCCAATTCCTATTATCCAGAGGATTTTATTATACCTTGTGGAATTTTTGACTTTATAAAACCCTGGAGTATAAACTGTGATTCACATTTTTGGTTCAATCATCTAAAAGGTAGTAAAATCACGCTTAAGAAAAACAGTAACAGTGATAGCACTTTTTTCTCTACAGAACAAAAGCATCTGACCCAACATTAATAGGCAAAAAGAAGGGCAATTGTGTGATCAGAGGATTCTAATGTACATATCACCTAAAGAAGACAGCTTGGAGCATGTCCACTATAAAGGAGATCTATCTTCAAGGATAATGAAGATGCTGTCCAGGATTTACTGAGTTTCTCCTAGTGATATCTCCACACCTATTTTCTACTAGAGAAAATATGTCTGGCACAATGTGAGGTGCTGTTTACCTTTTAAAGTATATTTTAAATAATTACAAATTCAGCATATTCTTTCCAAGTGGATGTGCTTGTGATCCCAAACACATCAAACTAAATTATTCATTCTTCTCAATCCTACCACAAACATTTTACAAAAATCAGTGAAAATAAATTCTGGATCATTAAAGGAAAAGGTGAAATTGGGAGTCGCTGTCTTAATGTTTGTCTGAATTGTTAGTTAAACCTTTAAATCTTTCATCATACACAACTTTTCAGCCACATCAGAAAATGACTCTTCAGATCTTGCACTCCAATGATACAGTTCTACTTTTCTCCCTTGCATTAAGTTTTCCTTTCTTTCCTTTTTCTTTCTTCTTCTTTTTTTTTTTTTTAAGCAAGTCACTGTACAGATACTTATTCTCTACACCACTTCCCTTTTGAAACATTAAACTGACACTGGAACTGACTGCACAAGATTGCATTTTCTCTTCCTAAACAACTTGAATTGAAAGGTTACTTAGTGTAACAATATTTACTTGCAGAATTGTGTTGTTACCAAGGGTATAATGGATGGTGGCTATGCAGGTTTACGCAAGAATGAGTGAAGCATGAGGCATTAGCCATGTGTTTGACATGTTTCAAATTGCTATAATCCAGCATTAAACACACCCAGCAATTCATGCCATTTCTTGCAGCCATAATCTTGAATAAAGCGTGCACAACCACTTATTATATAAATTAGTATATGACTCCCTGTTATAGTCACAACAGTGCTTTTGTGTTTATTTTGCATCAAGATGTAGTCTTTTATTTGTACAAATAGCAGGATATAAAGACATAGCTCAATTAGACCTCCTTACTTTATGATAGGGTAGTACTGAATGCTAGACTTGTTGGTTTTATTTTTTTCCTTTTAGAGTTATAGGTTCCATTGGTATAAAACTGTATCATGTGTTGAGATAGACATTTGCCAGAGCGATAACAGAAACCTGCATATATCCTATTCCATATTCACTACAATGTTCAAAAGTTCGATACTTGACCTGGGCCAGTACAGTTAACTGTTAACCACCACCAGGGACACTACTGGTCCTTGTTGCTTACTCAGCTTCTTTTCTCTCAGGTTCTCTCTCTCTCTCTCTCTCAGGTTCTCTCTCTCATCCTTCTGACCTCTCTCCCTTCCTTCTTCTCTTCCATCCCCTACCCCATGTGTGTGCATATATGTGTCTGTATGTGTGTAGATAGACAGACAGATGTGGGTACATTGATTGATCAAACTGTATATGTCAAGGATGGTAAGAAGGGAAAAGTAACCTCTACCACCCCTATGCTCCCCCATCCACATAAGTGGACACTCCATCTTATAATCTTGGTGTCTTCGTATTAAATCTCTCTCTTTTGTTTTTGCCATCTTACCATTTAATTAAAGCAAATGGATGGAGAAAATGACTTCCTGAGAAACTGAGAATAAATAATAGTCCATATAAAAAGTTTTAACTATTTCTGTGAACTTTTCTTAAACAAAATTATTTACAGTGACATCAAAGAATATTTCATGTCCAATATCTTCCAGTGTCTAATTTATCAACCAAATATGTACATTGAATCCAAAAGATTTTGAATATGACATATAAAGAAAAACATGAAATCAAAAAGTTATCATGTACTCTTAAATAATTCTTAATCACTTTTAAATTATCAATATTAAATATTCTTAAATATTCCTATGTAAATTCACACCAGAAAGCATTCAGTATGAGGAAAATCTACATATGCAACAAGAAACCACATACATTTACCTCAAAATATCAGCTAAATTCTGATTTTGAAAACCTGACTGAATTACAAAACTTTTGAAAGAAACTAGCATTTAAATAATGATAACTTCTGTGCTCTAGTGGAATTAATTCATCATGGACACCATGCACAGTGCATTTGAAATCTAGTACTGCTTTGCTAAAAGTCTTTAATGCTAAGATTGCCTAATAAATCAAAATGCCAAATATGAAGGACATAGTTGAATGTGTAAGAACAAAAACTGAACAAGCACACAAGTATTTTTAATTTTAAACAACTGAAACAGGATGTCTTTTAAAACATGATTTGGGAAAGGATATCTATTGTTACAGCAAGTGTTATGATCTTTATTATAACAAGTGATATGATTGTAAGTAAATGAAAAT